TATCAGGAGAATATAATGAGCGAAGAGGTATCCCGATTTGCTGGCGGGAAATTGGATTTTTCTCAGTTTCTCGATTTTCGCATTTCGTATCAGGAGAATATAATGAGCGAAGAGGTATCCCGATTTGCTGGCGGGATATTGGAATTTTCTTAGTTTCCCGATTTTTGCACTTCGTATCAGGAGAATATAATGAGCGAAGAGGTATCCCGATTTGCTGGCGGGAAATTGGATTTTCCTCAGTTTTCCGATTTTCGCATTTCGTATCAGGAGAATATAATAAGCTAAGAGGTATCCCGATTTGCTGGCGGGAAATTGGATTTTTCTCAGTTTCTCGATTTTCGCATTTCGCATCAGGAGAATATAATAGGTAAAGAGGTGTGGCATAAATAAAAAGAGAAACTTTGAGTAGATTTAATTATCTGCACTTTTATTGGGTTTTAATACAATACAAAGGAATGGTATATAAAAATGTATATATAATATATGTTCTACATTCGGTATTCTATATTCTATATATGATGATGTTCCTTTTTCAAACTTATTGTGTCTTTATATTATATTGAATTATATCGCAGTTTTTACAAAATTATACATAACATTAAAAAAAATACGTCACAAGACCGCTCTAATCTTTCGACGATCGCTCGGGATGGATGTTCAGCGTTCGTCCTCTCGAATCACTGGTCCTTTCGATCTTCGCCAAGCTCGCACCACGTGTCTCTCATCTGCAGCCGCTTCAACGTTGAATTGGACTAGACCAGCGACGCGCTCGCGTCTATGTTATACTTGCCGCGCAACTCTGTTTCGGTCTTTATTATCCATTCTACCGCGCGAAGACCTCTCTTGCCGAACACGTCGTTGAAACTGTCAAGGAAACGCTCGATTTACGACACCGAAGCTTTAATGAGCCGTAACGAAAGATTTAGTATTTTGAGTTACAACTCCGCGCGCGCACGGCTGCGATAGATAGAGATAGACGCGAGCGAGAGGAAGGCAAGAGGAAGAGGGAGGGAGGATCGTCCGTTTATCCACGTGCAGACGTATTGGACGGTATCTCCTTCGGGACGGCCAGCCGTGCACGCGTTCCCTCCGATTATTTGCATCATCGTAACACACGTGTCCGTCGTCGGAGCCAGCGTGCTAGAATGTGAATCGCGGGGGCTTCGAGCGCGTGTGTCCGCGTGTGTCGCAAAGCCCGCGTTATACTTGTCACCGCTACCAAAGCGGTGACCGCGATGCAACCGAGTTGCACGTACATATAAACGTAGTCGCGCGTGTATGCGTTCGCTCGAGAGGGAGAGAGAGAGGGAGAGAGAGAGAGAGAGAGAGAGAGAGAGTGAGAGAGGGAGACGGGAGGAGAGCGAGAAAGGGAGACGGAGGGAGTCTGAGGGACAGAGGAAGAGAGAGAGAGAGAGAGAGAGAGAAAGAGAAACGGAGTGCTCTCGAACGATGCAGCCGGCGCGTGTGTATGCGATGTAAACAGTGCGGTTGTGGAAGCCCTGACCGGCCGGGTGCAACGCCACCGCGGACCTTGAGCGATTATTTTACTGTGAACTCGCTTCTCGGGCGCGCGCGCGCGCGCGCGCGCGAGCGTGCTCCGGCAGCTCCGTTTTACGTGCATCGCATTTACGAGTCGCTCCAAACGAAGCGCAAGGCAACGGAGAGGGGGTGAGAGCGACGGGGGAAAGAAAGGGAGAGACGAAGAGCGGTTTAACGCGGTGCGTATTTGGAGAGAGGTCGCGCCGCGCGCGAGAGAGGAACCGCGAAACGACGAAGACGCGGATCACGCCTGATCGCGCGAAATGGAAGCGGCGCGGCGATGTACTTGAAGGGCGGCCGGCGGCGGGGCGCGTTCATCGCGAGGATTGATCGCCCGATCGATATTTTCGTAGCGTGTCTCAAGTACGACAAGCGACAAGAGAGGAATGACACACGTTCAGACGCATATGTGTGTCTCCCTCTTTCTCGCTCTCTCCCTCCCTCTCTCTCTCTCTCTCTCTCTCTCTCTCTCTCTCTCTCTCTCTCTCTCTCTCTAAGACGCGCCAGCAGTGTTAACGTCCCAAAGATGGCACGGAATTTCAGCATTAATTTTAGCCGATCTCGCGCGCGTCATTGGTGCCATTCTCTCTCTCTCTCTCTCTCTCTCTCTCTCTCTCTCTCTCTCTCTCCCTCTCTCTCTTTCTCTCGTTTCGTTTGTGTTTACACGCTCCTCGATAAACATCAAAGTCGAAGGATACACGCTGCTCGACGCAGGCAGTTTTATTAGCTCGCGATCTCGATTTTCTCTATTAATAACAATCTGAAATATCGCTAGTAGTCGATTCGAGAGTACCTCTTTTCCTTTCTCTCTTCTCTTTCTTGAGAAAGACAGGCAGAGAGAGAGAGAGAGAGAGAGAGAGAGAGAGAGAGAGAGAGAGAGAGAGAGGAGAGAGAGAGAGAGAGAGAGAGAGAGAGAGAGAGGGAGAGAGAGAGGGAGAGATCGGACGAACGGCATCTCGACCTGCATCGCGGCGCTCCTCCGTCGGCGGCTCCAAAAATACACGTCGGCACCGCCGTCGCCACCGTCTCCACCAGCGCCGTCGCCGCAGCGCGGTGACGTATCGGCTAAACGAAGGAAAACACAGCCGCGGGAGTGTTGTTTCAATCATCGCGCGAACGAGAAAGAAATCGCACTCGGAAAATATTTATCTTGTGTAGCACGACGGTAAACGACGCGAGTCCGATCATGGAAACGCGCGCGCGTGCTCAGGACTACCGCGCGAGCGAGAGAGAGGGTGAGAGAGAGAGAGAGAGAGAGAGAGAGAGAGAGAGAGAGAGAGAGAGAGAGAGAGAGAGGGAGAGAAAGAGGAGAAAGAGAGTCGCGCGGACGATGGTGTGTCATCGGTTTGATCCGACGACGATGATGACGACGGAGACGCGTACGCGGCTACGCTGTGTCGTATCAATCGGTACGACGCTTCACACGCACCCCACAGCTTATCAGCGGCTGTACCTCGCGAGAGCGCGAGAACCGGGCGAGCGCGCACGGGCTGACGACGAGAGGATGCAGGCCTCGGCGCGGAAAGGGCGGAAACACGAGCGCGAGTGCATACGGGCGCGATACGATGAGATCGAAAGCGCGGCACGTTTCCACGCGCGATCTCGCGAGGCACCGCTATTAATAGCTTACTGCGCGTTATTATCACGTCGATGAGCAGCGTCGCCGCGACGACGACGACGACGACGACGACGACGATGTTCAGGCAGGAGAGCAGATCCGAGGCGAGGGAGGGAGAGACCACGACGACGTCGGCGACGCTTCGCGAGAATCCTCGCTTCTTCTGCTCGTCCTCGTCGTCGTCGTGCTGCTCCGGGAAAAACCCTCTCTGGGAAATGCTCCGCGAAATGATTATCGATCGCAGCACTTACCTCGGAGACCGCGCGTCGAGCCGCAGACAAACACGTCTCCTTCGGCGCGATTGAAACAGTCTTGCGGTTCCACCGAGCCGCCGGATGGAGCTGAAGAAACTGAACGCATTTCCACCCGAGTTCCCCCCTCTCGAGTCTTGAAGATTTCGCCGAGGGACACCGCGGCGAGCGCGTCGGCGCACTCTGTGCGCCTCTCTCAGCTCGTCGTTGTCGCTGATGTGTGATATGTACCTTTGATATTTTTCTTCTTAGGGAGAAGCGTCCTCTTGGAGGTTTCTTCTCTTACGCAAGTAAATTGTGATTGTAAGGCGAATTACAGAGGCTTCAACAGCGCAAGGTCAACGATGTCACGAGCGAGGGAAGATTTTCCGATGAAATTTCTTTTAATATCGAGAGGACAAGTTCAAGCAACATGTACGTGTAATGTGTCTTAATTGTGCCGGAGTCGGACTGAGATTAGTCTGACAATCTGCCGAGTATTGTGCTTCAAGGATCAATAAATTATTAACTGACGACGCTTTTGAAATCGCTACTAATGTTACTCGACAACTTTTGACCCGATCCGCAGAGGTAACGTGGTGACGATAAACAGCGCGGTGGGCAATTGGAACAAGCATTATGTATACTTATATGCGCAAGCGCATTTCTTCGTGGAAGCGGGATATTAGGTGAGGAGTGTATTCTGCATTCTCAGAACGGCCGGCTCTCGAAGGTTAATTAATGCTACAAGTGGTGACGGATCGTGAGAGGAGTGGTCGTGGTTGCGGTCGTCACTGCGAATGAAAAAGGCCATTGGTTATTTTCAAGTCGTTTTTTAATAATTTCGATAAAAAATGATATAAATTGGATACTTAATAACAATGTAATAAGTATTATAAACAAAGTGACTAAATACAAATGTACAAGTTGGTACTTAACTTTAAAGGTTAGTATCTTTTGCTTTCTTTTCGTTATGTATATCTGAAACTTAAGAATCTAGATTTGATAACTTAAAAGCGTATATCTTACGTGTATCCCTCTCTCCGTCCCGACGACGGAACTCCGCGATGTTCCGGCTAAAAAGAAACGAAAAAAGTGCATATTCCCCGCGCGAACGGAAAGTAATAAATGAAGGATTCCGATTTCCGGCGGAAAGTGGCTCCGGGAGTAGCTCTCTTTTTCTCTCTCTCTCTCTCTCTCTCTCTCTCTCTCTCTCTCTCTTTCTCTCTCTCTCTCCCGTACTCACGTAACATATGTAATCGATGTTAAGGCGGGGACACAAAAAGTTGAAAAGCAACAAGAGAAAGAAGAACGGAAACGAGCGAGCAACGTAACACAACGCGAATTGGCGCAACGCGATAATCGTGAAAGGAGAAGAAGAGAAACGGCAAGAAGAACAAAGAAGAAGACATATGCGAGGACCTCTTCCCGTGTCGATCGCGAGAAAGTAAAAAAAATCGACCGGTTATATATCGCGAGATACGAGCTTGTGTGTAAAAATATCGTGGAAAAATTTATGGCATTCTCTCTCTCTCTCTCTCTCTCTCTCTCTCTCTCTCTCTCTCTCTTCGAAACAGTTACTCCTCTCCTCTCGCTTTTTTCTTTTTTTTTTGTTTAATATATCGACTTTTCTCGCCATGAAAAATAGACATCTCGCGGCTGAGATCAGGTTTTTTCAGCGCGTTACGTATTTCGATAGAGGTGAATTCTATTTTGCTTTCGGAGCGAAACGTTCGCCTTCGCACGAGTATAATATTGCACTTTGGTGTATTTTCTCTCCCTTTCTCCCTCTCTCTCTCTCTCTCTCTCTCTCGCTCGCTCTTTCTCTCAATCTCTCCCTTCCTCGCACTCTCTCTCTCTCTCTCTCTCTCTCTCTCTCTCTCTCTCTCTCTCTCTCTCTCCCTTTTGCGAAAGGCTGCGTTTTTTTACAATTCGTTTTTCTTTCTTATTCGGAACAACGACAACGGCACCGTCGAGAAAATGGTCTGCGCTGGTGTTTTGTACAAAGGAAAGAAAGCATGCGGAAAAACCTGCCGGCGTTCGCATATATCGATATACAAGCGATTACATGTCACGCGACAAATGCCTAAGGTACACGAATGCATTACCCGACCATAGATATTACACGTCAACCGTAAATAATGGCGACCGATAGGTGATAACGATAATTAGCTCTCGATAAACCTCATTACATGTACACCAAATGTAACTGCGGCACGCGTCGTTAATCGAGGCGCGCCCTCGAAATATCAAAACCACCGCTCACTTCTCGTCCCCCCTCCGGCGACGTCATCTCAATTGGACATATATACACGCTAAGAATTTGTTAAAAACTACTACACACCTATTATCGTTTTCGTTCATACGTACAAATACGCGCGCGCGTACACGCGCGCGCGCGCACACACATACACACACACACACGCGTATGTATATGCATATTGGTAATCGTATGTATACATATGTATGTATAAAATTTATATACGAGTATCACACGCGCGCGCACACCCGAGCCGTCTGTCCGAGAACCGTCGCGATCTCAACAACAACACACTTACGCGTTCCACGTCCACGTGTCGCGCGACAGCAAAGAAATTAAGACTACAATTTAAATTAAAGAGATTAAATAAATTAAACGCTGCGCACTCGAGCGCACACGAATTCTACAATCTTTATTAAATTAAATTAAATTAAGTTGAACATAATTTTCATTAAATTACAGATATTCATCATACGATAAAAATCTCCAAGTTAAACAACGAAGAAGAAGAAGAACAGAAACTCTAATCATTGCAACGAACACGTCTCGGCACATCCGATAAAATCGCGTCGACGTTCGATTGCACGGTTCATCGCGGCGACTCGCGAACACGTCTGGCTCGAGTGTGAACGCGCGTGCGCGCGCGCCTAAGTGTTCAAGTGTATTTACCAATGAAGTTTCGTCGAAAATTGAAAAATTCTAATCGCAAACACATCGGGGCGCGTCGTCGCTGCGACTCGGTGCGGCCGCCGATGCGCGGTACCACACACATACACGCACACGCACGCACGCACACACACATACACACACGCGCGCGCGCGCGCACGCACGCACGCACATGCACACGCATACACACACGGCTTACGATTTACTTGAGCAGCGATTTGTGTAAAAGCGGAGGCGGGGCGCTTCCCCGCGTCTCCCTGCCGCGCGTTTTCAACACGGCGACCGCCGTGTATTACATGCGTGCGGAGAACGCGCGCGACGTTCGGCACGTACGCAGACACGTTCATCTCGGAGATCGGACAATGGGGAGGAAAGGCTCCCCCGCTCGCGCGCGATCTCTCAGAGCCGTGCCGACGACTTAGCGGCGCGGTATTCCCGTAATAAAAGACAGAAGGCGGTTGCGCGCGGTGCGAAGAGAGCAAGAAAATACGAGCGCGATCGGGAGAAACGACTCGTCACAACTGGTGCGCGTTCCGTGATAACCGAGAATACACGCGAGTCGCGCGTGTTCTGTTTCCTCACACAGCACCATGAACCTTCTCTGTTTAAAGGGTGTCCGAAGGACGTTTAGCTTCCTTCCCGCGGACCTTTTTCGAAGCCTTTGAAGCCACGTCGGGCAACTTGAAAAAAACTGCACTCACGCTCAGCGAGCAACGCACGCTCGAGGATGACGGAACGTCTCGCGAGTCGAGATCCAACCATCGATTCGCGCCCCGCGATCGATGTCTGCGCCGTTTCCCACCGTTTGTCGCTTCTTCTCCCCCGGAAGCCAAAAGAAGTCACGTTTTAGCGAGGGTTAATAAGGGGGAATCGTCGCGCGAAGTTGTCCGGCCTTCACGAAGCACTGCCGCGCGTAACTCTTGCCACCGAGGTGGAAACCCAAAGGGGAGAATCTCCAGCGGCCGAGTCCGATGGAAGCACTGAGAATCAGAGTCTTCGCCGCGCTCTCCCCCCCACCCTCCGGCGCGAGACGAGGGTACGGAAAATTCTACGGAAAATTCTACGGAAAATTGGCAGAGAAACCGGAAAAACAACATGACAATGAGACACAAAACAAGTAAAAACGTTGGCATCGTCTTGCATTCTTCATGGCGCCGCGACTCGTCTCTCTTTATTTTCCTCTTCTTTTAACATACACAACTACGTATTCTGTCTCATATATATTTATATATACTTTGTAACATTTGTCTGTTAATTTCCTTCCTTCCTTGGTCGCTCCTGCAATATATATATATATATATATATAATATATATATATATATATATATATCCATCGACTACAGTTTCAGAGCTGTCACCGCTCACACACGAAATTCCCGTTCCCACTATCCGCCCAAAAAAGAGAAAGAGAGAGAGAGAGAGAGAGAGAGAGAGAGAGAAAGAGAGAGGAGGACAAGCTTACTGTTCCTTCCCCGCCTGCCTCTCGTCTTAAACGCGAACTTGCGGTTGCGATACGGACGCGTGTTGGGACAAAGTTTCACCTGGCGAATAATAATGCAATCTCACGCGGCGCCGGACATAAATTTACGAACACGCGGAAAAAGTTGATCGAACCTCGGACAGTGCCAAAGGGAAAAAGAAAAAAATATAGAAAGAGAAAAATAATGCAATGACCCACGCGAGCCGGTTCTTCGCGTGCCGAACGATCTTTCTTTTTTTTCCTGCTTCTCCGGTCGAAAAGATGCACGCATTATCATTTGCGTCGGAAAAACTCTGTGATATACGATACATCGCGTCCAACGCAGGAGATTGTGTTCTTCGTACCTCCCCCCCTCCCCCCCTCTCTCTCTCTCTCTACCGCGGAAACCCAATTTTTTCACAAGCGCTCGTAAATTAGCGATCATCGCCGGTGCTTTTCGTTCTGATTCTCTTTCTCTCTCTCTCTCTCTCTCTCTCTCTCTCTCTCTCTCTCTCTGTCGCTTCCTTTTTCTCCTCTCCTATGTCCGCGGTCGCCGCGTATCTCCCATCGGGCTTCGAGCAATCGCTCTTCGTGGTCGCCCGACTCGCTCGCGCTAACATCGCTCCCCGCTCCTGTCTCCGTTTCCCAAATTGCGCGCGCTCGGAGCCGCTTCGTCGTCGAAATCGCACGAGAAAATTCATCGTCCTGCCTCCCCGCGTATCCGTACGAGCGCGCGTTCACCTATAATCCCGTGTCGAGCAGCGCGAGAGAGGTCGCTCACGGGGCTGCTCACGCCTGCGAGCACACTGCGAGAGACCTGACTACTGCCGTTGCTATTACTACTACTACTGTACGACACGCGCACGTACACACGCACAGCACACACACACACACACACACACACACACACAACGTGTACGCGCGGCGATGCGCGTTGCGTACCGTCCTTATCGTCGATTTCTATCCACGTGCGAACAATGGCTTTCACGGAGCCGCAAAGCGAGTCGCGGAGGAGAATTAAGCGTTAAAAGGTGGAGAGCTAGCTCGGCGGCGCGCGGACTCGTTTTCTTTCCCCGTGCGAAGCGTCGCTTCGCCCTTTCCTTCTTCTCCCTCCCTCCCTCTCTCTCTCTCTCTCTCTCGTTCACTGTTTGCACAAGTGCCCTTCGTCACCGTCGCGTGCACTCGGCTGCAAATTGCTCGAGTAATTTATGATATTTGAATTCAGGTTCATCGCACGACGACTCATCACCGTCGCCTTCGGCAGCCCAAAGAAGTCCCGAAGAAGCCGCTTCGACAGCTCGTGTTAGGTCGAGCAACACGTCCGCTGGTGCGCCTTCGTGCAGCGGAGAGGTCGGACTATCAATTTCTTGGGTACGAGCGCGACGGCCCCGAGGAGAGTTGGATCGACGGTGTCGCGACGGCGGCGACGGTGTCGCGACGGCGGCGGCGGTGTCGTCACCGTCGCGGTTCGATGTCTTCTTCTTTTCTTTTTTCTTTTTTCACTCGTCGCCTCTACACGTCCCTCCCTCGTGAAGAAAAGGAATCGTCCCGAGCGCTGGAGAATGGCCGTTTATTATACGCGAATTACGGAGACGCGTGTTGCGCGTCTGGCAGTTCTTCTTGGCGACGTGACGCGCGACAATGTATCGTGATTACATTCTACGACTACGAGCGATCGTTGAGAATGCGAGCTGGCGAGTACTGGCGGCTGTTGCTCGTTGATATGTGACGCTGCGCCCGCGACGAGGAAACTCGATCGGAATCGACGCAGTCTGTTGCCCGCGAGGGAGATCGAAGCGCGCAGCCGCCGCCTCCCCGCGACGACGACGACGACGATCCTCTTCTCCGTCGCCCGCCACCCACCCCCGATGTCGCGAAATCTTCCCTTGTTTTCTTCTCTCTGGTTGTTCCAGCGCTCTTCTTCCGGTCCTCCCTCCCTCCTCCTCGCCCCCGACAATCAAACATATCCGATCATCCCTCTGAGCTTCCTGAGAGCCTGAGTGGCCTAAGTTAAGGGAGACGAGAATTTCGGAGCAACCGTAATAATTGTTATTGCGCTTTTCGTGTAAATAGCTATCAACACTAACATTTATATTTTGTTCTTCTTGGCCCTGTATATGATTTTTGTACGCGTGTTTTTCCAGACCGGAGTGATAGGCACTGTGTTTCCTTTGTATCTTGTTGTATCTCTCTTTCCCCTGCCCCCCTCCCCCCTCTCGCAGGTCCGTTTCGGTTCTTTTAATCTTTTTCTTGTCCCTCGACCTTCCTAACCTTCGCTTTCTACTGCCAAACGCCGCTCGTCCCTTCGCCGAGAACGAGAGCTGTCCGCCCTCGATTGTCCCCCGAACGAGAACAGAGGAAAAGAAAAAGGCGGCCAACGATTAGCACTGTGCGACACGCGTTAATTGGCGCGCAGCACGACGCGCAGGACGCTATAGTGTGTCATCCCACGTTCGTAAGAAAAAGAAATATAAGGAGAAGAAGATAAGCGGAACCCCCCCGCCGGAGAGTGCGAAAATTCTCGCCGAGAGCGATCTTATCTGTACCCTTCGACCGAAGAGATAACGCTGCTAACAATATCACGAGGGCGCCCGTTTCTTTCCCGCGAACGTCAAAGGACGAGCGTCCTTCATGCACCGATCATGAGCGCCGCGACGCATGTCGCTCGTCCTTTCGCGCTGATCGACGGAGATATTCGCCGCCGAATTCCGATATCCTACCTTCCTTTCCTCCGCCTGGCGAAGGCAATCCTGCCGGCGATAGAGACGGCATACTGGCGGTAATAGCGGAGTAGTACAAAATGATAACAGTAATAATAATCATCTAATGCTAATGTTGCGAAGAAAGTAATAATATTACGGTTAAGTGAAATAATAATAATAATAATAAAAACAAGAATAATAATATTATAATTATAATCCTAAACATAGTTGTGATAATAATATTAATAATAATAATAAACACGTAGTGGTGGGGGAAGTAACGTTAATCAATACGAACGTTAATAATCGAAAATGCGTGTGAGGAAGAAAAAGGGACGGGGCGCAAAAAAGAGACCTCAACGGACAGTAAAATGAACGAAAAAAAAAAAAAAAAAAAAAAGAAAAAGGAAAAGAAAACAATGGTAGTGAGTTCGCTGGTATCGATTGGCGATAGTCACCGTTTTACGAATATATATATACATGTACATATATATATATATATATATATCTCGTTAAAAATTAATCGCTACATAAAACTAAGTATAAAAAACACGATGAGATCAAGAGTTTGATATATCGATATAGCCGCGCGCGCGACCAAGCGTGGCTCGCTTGCCTCGCTTGCTTATGTCGCCTCGTCTCTCACCTCGTCTCACTTCAACACGCTCGCTCAATCGATCGCCGCCGTCGCCGCTGGATCTTAACCGCTAGATCTAGCGTCGGATCGCGCGCACGATCGATCGGAGAAACGCACGCGTTCTACTGCCATCCCTGCCTGATTTTCGGCCAGAGAGACGAGCTACCCCCCCCCCCTCTCGCCCCGCCGTTCCTCTTGACTCTTCTCTCGACGAAATCGCACGCGAAGACCCGAGGAGGCGCGCTGGCCCTTCGAGTCGTCGCGAGCCGTTCGCTCTTAACCGCGTCCTTCCCTTCTGCGAAAGCCGACCTTCCGGTAGCGAAAAGATCCTCGGAGCCTCGCGCGATCGAAGGACTCTCTCTCTCTCTCTCTCTCGAGGTGCGTATATCCTCGATACGCTGAATACCGTCAACTGTCATTAATGCGCGATCGAGCCGCGAGCGTGCCTCGGCTCGCAGATCGTTTGGAGAGAGCTGATGATCCGGGAAGGATTCGACGACGAGGACCCGAGAATCTCGCAGCTCCCGGTGGATATCCGAAGAGAAGGAAGCACCGTCGAGAGAGAGCGCGAGGATGCTCCGGGGGAATTTGGAGGACACCCCCCGTGAACATCCTGCCGCGCGTCCGTCTCTTCCCTCCTCGCGTCGCTCAGCCCAGACGCACAATTCCATCGCACAGAACCAACTTCGTCGGCCTGGCGAGCCGACGGACTCGAGACGAGGATCCACGTAAGATCGGGAGCGTTCGCGCACGCGTATCGATCAATCACTGGGCATGCCAATCGATCTTTTTCTCACTGACTTTTCCGCCCAAACCAGACGACACGACGACGACGTGCTCTTCGCGAAAAAGCGCGCGTCGATATCGTCATTGCCGTCGTTGCTCTTCGCAAGAGAGAACGAAGCGATTAATCTCTCTTTCTCTCTCTCTCTCTCTCTCTCTCTCTCTCTCACTCACGCATTCACTCACTCATTCTCTCGTCGCGGCGCGATACTTCGCACATTACGCACTCCTCAACATCTGCATCGTTAGCGTAACATGTATTATATCTCCCAGCGAGCAACATCGAGCGCGTCTCTGCGGTGTGTGTGCTCGCCTGCCGATCGACGATGTTCTCTCTCGCCCGCGATGAATCTCGCGAATCTCGGAACGTGTCGAACCACTCACTATCCAACAGCGAGCCGATCGGCTTCACTCCACGAGGCGACTTCGCGACTCCCATGTGGCACACATGTCGACTGGCGATCCGCCCTCACGACTCGCGTCACTGCGCGTCCGCTCGTGAGACAAGAGCGAGATGGGTGCAGCAAATCAAGAGCACGGTAACTACAAATCGCAACAGAGAAAAAGAAATTCCCTCCCGCTCCTTCTCGCGAAGAAAAGAAAAAAAGAAGTAACGCTGCTCGACGACGCGAGCCGATCCAAAGGAAAAAAAGCGGAGCCTTCAAAATAAAGCCGCGAAGCCCACTGTTTCTTCCGCGAAGCCGTCGGAGGTAACCGAAACGGTCTCCCGCGGCCGGGCGTGAAACACGTGGGGTGCCGGCAAGTCCGAAGAGAACGAGGGGGTCGCCTCGTGGACGAGAAAAACCGTCGACTTCAGCGGCGAACGTCGGTCGGTCGGCCGGCGCCGCGCGCGATTCATCCGCCATTATCCGCGGTATCGTTCGCTTATGCTACAAAAAGTTATATATTACTAACGTTACATGTGTCTATGCCGATATACACAACAAACAGGCGGGGGCCGCTGCAGGCCGAGCACGCGGCGACAAGACGAGTCGAGAGTGTCGCTTTTTCTCCCTGCCTTTCTACCCCTCTTCCTCTTCACTCTCCCTTCGCACGAACAACCAACTTGGCGCGTATCTCGCGCTCGTCAACGTCGCGCCGATCGCCCAGATGTCACCGATCTCGTCGACCCGCCTTCGTGCCGCGCGACGCGGTCTCGACCGCGCACCCGCTTCCGATATATATGTATATATATATAAGTTATATATATATATATATATATATATATTTATCATTTTTTTCGTACAAAAGTCTTACTCGCTAGTATACTACAGTACATACACAAAAAGAGAGGAAAAGAAACGCAAGAGCCCGAGAACGTCGTGCACTGTGGACACGTGTCGCGCGCTTCGCGTCGAGCTGCACAGCAGCGTTTCCGGAGAAATTGTGCAAAATTCCGGTATGCGGATGGTGACAACCTCCACCGAGAGAGTATGCACCGGGTGATGAGTGTCGCTGGCGACGATCGAGAGAGAATCGGAGGACCACGGGACCGGCACAGGAGGAGAAACGTCGATCTCGCGTGTTTTTTTTCGACGAGTAGCCGCGGCATGTGTGGTGTGCTTGAGCGAATTATAACGCGTGTTTATTTCATGCGCAAGCGTTTCTTTCTGGTCGGATGTCAATTCCAGTGCTCGTTGCGGCAATCGACGCTTCTCCGTCGCGTCCGCGAGGTAAAAATCTACGAAATTGACAAGCATCCGCCCTCTCTTTCCCTCTCTCTTTCTCTCTCTCTCTCCGATATAACCCTGTTTCTTCCCTTTTTGACCCTTTTCTCTTTCCCTCTCTCTCTCTCTCTCTTTCTTTTTGTTCAGCGACACTCTACCCAAAAAGTGAAATCAGTTGTTACCGGCCGCGTTCTTTCAGAACCCAGAAGCGACTCGATCTCGTCGGGCCGGATATCGAAACTCCCTCTCTGAAACTCTCTCGCGAAGGACAGCCCCGCGGCGGCGCGGTGACACCGCCATGGTGCGCCGCGATCGCGTCTGGATCGCGAGCAAGAGGAACGAACAAGTGTCCTCTTGAGCACGCAAAAATACAAAAAGACGAAGAGTCGCGCGATGACGACGGCGCTACCGCGAAGCGCGGAACGCGCGCGCGCGCACGTTAAGGATGCGCTCGGCCTTCGACGTCTCTTCGAGTCGAGTGTTTTCGCGGAACGAACGCCGGGCCGGACGCGACCTTCGGACAGCGCGCGGGCAGAGCTCTCTCTTGTGTTCGCGGCTGTACTCTCAGGGCTTCGCGTCGGCGACGCGATCGCAACAATCGGCGAAGGAGACATTTACAAACCAAATAGTATCAGCGACTACGTCGTGTCGCCGTCTCGACGCAGTTCCTCCGTCGTTTCTTCTTCCCGACACCTGTTCGCCGGCTTCTTAGAAGTTGATCTGCCACTCGGTGTTGATGGTGGGGATGTCAGAAAACATGTCCGAGACATCCGGTGGGCAGGAGAAAGTCTCAAAGTGCGAGCCGCTGGCGGAGCTGGAGGTCTCGTACCTCTCGAGATCGGTGTCCAGCTCGAGGTCCATCTCGGAAGGGTGCAGCTGCAGCAGGTCGAAGTTGTAGAGCTCGTCGACATCGTCGATCAACTCCTCGAGCTTCACGACCGTGGTGCCGTTGGTGAGCGGGTCGCCGAGGACGCCTATCGAGTCCGTCGTGGCGACCACTGACGGCGCGGTGGTGGCCGCCGCCATCGTCGCCGTGCTGGGCGCCGTGCTGGTCGCCGTCTGCATCGCCGTCACCGTCGGCATCGCCGTCGCCAAGAGCACCGGCGACAGGTCGTGCGTTGACATGGTCGACGACGTCGACGAGAGCACCGGGGGGGATATGTGCGGCGGCATGATCGGCGCTGACGGCAGCACCGGAGACATGTGAGGCGACATGCTCGGCGTGGATGTGAGAACCGGCGACAAGTGCGGCGTCGGCGTCGTCGGGCTGCCTGCTACCATCGCAGACGGCGGCGTCCTCGTCCTGGACAAGGGTCGCGGCTCCGTCGGCTCTTCCTTCACGTGGAATGTCGCTTGTTGTTGCTCGAGATTGCCGGAGCTCGAGTTGCGACAGTATTCCTTGTTTCTGTTGCTGCTGCTGCTGCTGCTGCTGCTGCTGTTGCCGCCGCCGCCGCCGCCGCCCGACATGACCGACGACATGTCCAAGGACGACGAACCGAGCAGCTGGTCCTTCGACGGGAAACTGGGCTTATAATCCATCTCCATGTCCGGCTCCTGCTTGATCTTCGCGGCCATGCCGCACATGCCGGATGACGTAGTCGCGCACTCGGGGAGGAAGTTGTCGTCGTAGAAACTCGCGGACTCGGGCGAGTCCGGGGTGTCGCAGGACGGGCTGCTCGGCACCTTGGCCGTGACGATGGGGGTGTAGTCCACGTGAGCGTTGTCCATCGCCAATTTCATCTTCAACCTGGATATCGGCCTGCTGCTCGAATGCGACTGCAGTCTCTTCACCGGCGTCGGCTGGTGGTGGTTGTTGTTCGTGTCGTTCCGCGTCTTGTGACTAGTGGATGCCGCCGAGGCGGGCGACAGAGACAACGGCGAGATGCCGAGGATGCTGCCGGAGGCCGAGCTGCTGGCTGACGACGACGACGACGACGACGTCGACGACGACGACGACGACGTCTTCCGTTTCTTGCTCTCCTTCGTCTTCGGAGCCGGCGCCGGCTTCGACGTCTTTTTTCTCGGCCGGTACTTGTAGTCGGGGTACTCCATCATATGGAGCTTCCTCAGCCGCTCAGCCTCCTCGATGAAGGGCTTCCTCTGAGTCTCGGTCAACGTTTTCCATACTCTGCCCAGACGCTTGCTGATCTCGGCATTGTGCATGTCCGGCTGGACCTCGCATATCTTCCTGCGCTCGATCTGCGACCACACCATGAAGGCGTTCATGGGCCGCTTGATGTGGTTCGGATTGTTCTTCTTCGTCTGCAACAGAGAAACGGACAAGCGGCCGTTTGGTTAACTTGTTTCGACTCGTGTCGCACCCAAGATGGCCCAGTTAGATACCGCCCGCGCGCGCGGGAATCGTGTTTCTCGGAGAAAGACTTCTCGTATCTCTACCTGCACTTTGACGACACGCGATAGCGGGACGCGCGGGGCGTCCCGATTAACATCGACATACACAGAGTGTCAATTATGTGCATACTTTCATCCTTTATGAAAACCTGACATTGCGCCTCTCCTCGTCACCGTTTTTACAACGGCTGTCCAATTTCCAACGCCAAAGTCAAGCCTGAAATTGACAAACCCCTCAAGAGGAGATCCACACGAAGTTGAGAACGAAGACGAACCTTGCGGGGGTCCATCTCGTCAGCCAAAACCATAGACATATGGTCTGTTCTTTTTAGCTGCACTGCGGAACTACTAGTGCGATAAGTTAGAATGAGACAACTATATTTTTTCTCACTTCAACTTATCGCACCAGTTCAGTGGTACAGCTAAACAGAACAGACCAATAGTATACCTAGACTGCATATTCGAGGAGTGGGGGTAGAGCTCACGTAGAAAAGGATGCACTCCGTTTTGTCTGTGCGCTCTCTCTCTCTCTCTCTCTCTCTCTCTCTCTCTCTCTCTCTCTCTCTTTCTCTCTCACATTCTTGATGGAAGGAGAAAGGCACTGTTTTTTTATTTTTTTTTCCAATATAACGATCAACCTAGATCACCCTGCCATCAGCTCACCCCGAGGTGTATACAGTTACAGCCGCTTCACTGCCATACAGGTTAGCAACTGCCCCTTCCTTATTTCCCTTCCATCAAGAGAGTATGTGAAAGAGAACGCACAGACAAAACAGAGCGCATTCTTTTCTACATGAGGTTTACCCTCACCCTTGAAATTTGGGAGAACGCGCAGTCTAGGTATACCATATGTCTATAGCCGAAACTCTCGACAAAAAAAGAAAAAGAAAAAGAAAAAAAAAAAAAAGAAGAAACCCTAAAAAATCTATTCGCGAACTCGACGACACGAGGGAAAACGATTTCCGCGCGGCGTCAACAGCTAGGCGCGAAACAATTCGCACCCCGTATACGCCGGCAATCGCGACCTCGCCTCGGTAGATTAGCTACACATCGAAGAATCCCGTGAGTCACACATCGACACGGCGTATCGGCGTGCGAGCCGAAAGCGCAGCGCAGCTCGCGTTCGTGCGATTATCACAGCGGCCTACGATACATCGTTTTAGCTCGATGCGACCTTCGCACGAGCACAGCCGGAACGGGTAAGCAGGGCCCACCGCGGAGACGTGGGATGTTAAATGCGGGTTGCGCGCGCGCGCGCGGCTTCTTTCTTCTTCTTCCTCATTTCTCGTTCCCTCTCGTCTTCCCTTCTCGTTGCCGCGCGCGCGCGCGCGCGCGATTGCGAGTCCGCCGCTCCGATCGTGTATCCGAAAACGGGCGGTCGCGCGAGAGCGGACGACGATGAAACGAGCGGCGGAGAACGAGGCACGACACCCGTAATAAAGCGAACGGCTGCTCCCGTTTCATCGTAATTTCCGACATTACGCTACAAAGAAGCGGCCGCGACACGGAAAGGCTCGCCGCCGTGCCGCGCCGTCGTCGTCGTCGTCGTTGTCTCGTCACGAATCTCCCCTCGTTCGGCTGCGCGTGCACACACGTGCATGCGTGCGTGCGTGCGTGCGTGCGTGCGTGACGTATCGACACGTTATTCACAATTAGCCCGCAGCTGACGGAAGCGGGTGACCAAGGCCGGGCCGAGACACAGACTCGCATCTCAACTCGTACACGGTGGCCTTCGCGAACTTGGCGAAGAGAACGATCGAGTCCACGTGTATATGTACGTGCGTGTACGTGCGTGTACCCAGCTCCGGGCTACACGCCGCGGGTAACATACGGCCTGCCTGCCTGCCTGCGCGTGCAGCGAATCTCGCGCTAATCGCGAACACCGAAGCCTCTCGGATCGCGATTTCAAGGAACGCGCGCGCGCGTAGATCGAAGGAACAGAATTCGAGAGCGCCAAATCTCGATCTTGCGGTACCCCGGCCTCGACCTTTGCACGCCGCCCGGTGACGTCAGCCGCGGGTATGCGCTCGGCATTGCGACTCGAGGCTTTTCAAGGTACGCTGTGACGCGACCTTAAGAACGAACGGTCGAGCGAGCGAGCAAATGCTGAAGGCTACACCTCTTCTTCATCCTCGTCTTGCCGAAAAGAGCGCGCCGCCAAGCACCATCGAGGAGCCAATGTGGTTTTCATCTCAAGGTACACAAGCACATCGTTCGACGCTTGGTCAGAGACGCGTCTTCGGGTATCCCGGGGATCGATGCTTCACGACACGCCGGATATCGACTCATTGACCGTCGCGCGATCCGGGAAACCACTGTCGCGGCGGACGTTTGCAATGTTTTTGAGCAATCTCCTTGACAAACGAGACAGAATTCAGGAGAGAACAACGCTCTAGTAGTTCAGAGACCGCGAAAAGTCGGCCGACAAAAATCTAAATTAAGACGTGGGAACGTGTAAAGGTGAAGTAAGTAAAATCGTGTAATTTTCGTGTGTACGGTAATTTTCTTTCCGAGTTCCTTCGACGGGGAATCAAATCGGGACTAGAGCGCTTCGCCAACTACCGCCGCCGCCGCATCGTCGGAATGCCGATTGAAAAACACCGACAGCGGTCGCGATCAACATACGGAATGACGGCCGTGCGTCCCTCGCGTTCGATTCGCCGATCGACGCGCGCCGCTCTTCCGCGATCGTGATCGTGCAGCGAGGTGCAGCTACAGAACGGCGGAGATGGAGATCCATAGATCAAGCGCGGACTCTCGCGCGTTGTCGGCGCGTTATCGCTGCGAAAGGAAGAGGAAGAGGAAAAGCCGCGCATTGTCCTTTTCGGTCGCGAGCGCGCGAGAAAGGAAAAGAGCGTACCGGGAGTACGCGTGTTGTAAAACCGACGACGACGACGACGACGACGATGGCGGCGGTGGCTCAAGGATCGTCGGTGACGCACAAACGACGACGACGACGACGACGACGACGACGACGACGGCGGCGACTCGTCGCTCTTGTAAATCACCTCGTCGCTTCCTAATCGCGGCCGTGAAACACGGAATTGTCATTTGTGTCGCGAAACGTGAGAAACTTTCAAATGGGTCGGCCGCGAACGCGCTGCTCCGCCGTCGGCCTCACGGCCGACCCGAGAACACGTTGTTGACGTCGTCCGCTTCCCCCGTCTACGAACACGGAGAACTTGCTCGATAATGGTGGCGTCGTTTTCCACGTGGAAGGCTTCCCTGGCCTGCGCGGAAACGCGGAAACGACCACGCGCTCTCGGGGTCGTGGTCGAGTGGAACAAACGAGAAGAGAATTCAGTGATTATGCTAAACGCTCTGTGGATTTTCGATCGCGCACCTTCAGAGCCAGCCAGCGCGCGCAGCTTGTGGGTGAATAATTGGCCAATCGCGCCACGAGGGCATTGATCTCGCGCTGGATTCATTCATCGCTCCACGTTGGCTCTCTCTCTCTCTCTCTCTCTCTCTCTCGTAGGCCCGATCATATTTTTTTCGATGGAGAGGGCGGAGGGCCGAGAGGAGAGCAGGCTCAACGTAGCCACGGAAAGACCACGTTCATTTTTAGCCACGTGGCTATCTTCACAATTCAGCGACTTTGGCGACTCGGCAATTACGTCAACGCCCATTACGAAGCCAATAAAGCAGCGATGACTATTCGCGTTTCGCCATTGGCAGGGGAAAATAAATGTACCGCGCGGCGCGTTTACCCCGCTCTGTCGCGCGATTACCCTAATTGACCGTATAAATATCTAGACGGTAACCTCTAATTGGTTAAATGGCCGATAACCACACGGCCGAGCAGCCGACCGGTCCCAGACCGATCGTCGAGGATGATTATTTTGGCTCAACGAGTTACAACGCCGCCGCCGCCGCCGCCGTCGTCATCCTGCCGAAATTCGGCCGGCGCTCTCGCGATTCGCGATTTATATAACATCACGGCGCGTCCCGCGGAATATCTGGCGCAACACGTCGTATATATCGGAGCGGCCGATCGTTCTGACGAGCTACACGCCGCAAAAATGAGAGAGATATCCAGAGCCGGCCAGATGATCGGCGGCCTAATGGATTTTCTCCCGGGGACGGAGAGGGAGGGGAAGGAGGAGAGAGAGGGAGAGAGAGAGATAAAAAGAGAGAGCGCGAGAGGGAAGAGCGAGGACAGAGCGCGATGTGCACACAGAGCCCGAGAATTCTCGGGGCCTTAAAATGTCGGGGGGCCGCCGCCGTCGAGGTGGGGGTGAAATTCTTTGTGTGCCCCCGAGGGCTCCCACCACCAGCTGCGCGTAAATCATTATCCTTCGGCCTCGCTTTTACCTGCGACCCCGTGGAAATCGCACGAGCCCGAGAACCGCCGAATCGAATGTGACCGTTTGCGAGCGAGAGTGTGGTGGAGAGAGAGATAGAGAGAGGATCGTGCCGAAAAAAACACGCTTTCCGAAGGGAGATGAGAGGTGGGTGGAGCACCGTACGCTTCGGCCGGTCGACGCATCGCCCATATGTTCCGCTCGCGTTACGAAAGCGGTGTCCTTAGAGGCGTCAGGGTATACCCGAGGACTTCTATAGGGCGAACAACACAGACTGACGTCGCATTTCGAACCCATGGAACCGATTCTCGCCAGCTTGCGGCGGTGCTCCCGAAGGCTCGACACGGTTCCCCGTCGACTGTGACCGAAGAATATCAAAAAAGGTCTATTTCTCTAGGCTGAGGCTTTTTTTTCGTCGGGTTACACAGTGAAACTATTATATGACCTAGCGTTGAGAAAAAAAGAAAAAAAAAAAAAAAAGAAAAGGACCGGAATTCCAGCGCAACGCAGGTTCAGTCTAAAACGAACAGGCACGAACATAAAAGTCGTTCACAATGTGGACGACGTGGGGCGCGACGGTCGTTTGCGTTAGGAGAGAAAAATGGC